TTTCGTTGATATCCATTTGAGACCAAAGTACACAATTTTAAATTGAAAAGGAGACCATATTGCACATTTTTTTACCAAATGGAAAACTAAATTTAACATTACATATAAACCCCTAAACGTAAATATTGAGCTTCACCTTCACATTACATGAACACCTACACCTGAACATTGGCCAGGAACTCCACCAATGTTACCACCAGCCCTTTTTCTCAATTATTGTTCAACGTTCTTCCTCCTCTTTGAATGAGTTTTTTCTGGTTGTGGGTGTTTGAGGTGAAGAAGACAACGATAGGGTGATGGTTGCCGAAATGTTGGGAGAGAGATGGGGTTTCTGATTTTTTGTGAATTGCGAATTAGCAATTAGGGTTTCTGATTTTGCACATGATTTTGTGAATTGTGAATTGAGATTCTGATTTTGAAAATTGGAATTGAGGCTTATGATTTTACACATGATTTTGCACAAACTCTAACCTTTTTCTTTTACTTAATAACTTCAACTTTTTAACATTTCCACGTACCTTGCCAACTCAATTCACCTCACATTGCCACACAATAAAAAACTGTACATTCATTCATTTTCACCAAGGAGGCAACTGCACCGTTATGTTTTAAACGCCATAAGCCAAAATAACTATTTTAAAACGTTTTTAACGAAATATGAGGTCTTACTGGACTTTTTTAAAAGGTAGGACGACTTTGAACAAAAAGCCCAAAACTAGGGACTAAATGATGTATTAAACCTATATTTAATGCTACTTAATCAGGTCGTTTCATTGGTTTCATGGGATGACTCACATCTTAGGTTAACCTTTACAAGGTTAGCCTTTACAATGACCAACTATGCATGAGGATAGACAGGCAAAACCATTACAACAATGGAAGCATGAAAAGGAGATATTTTCTCCACAATGTCTCCTTTTAAGGAAAAAGAACCAATAACTTTTGAAGAAGAACTTTTCTTCAATGTCTATGACATCCTACTAATAAGGACACTACCGTTATAAGATGAATCAGAAAACAAAAATTTGATGAAAAAGGTATACCTAAGTTCAACAAAGTAGGGATGACGACTAAAGAATGCAAACAAAGAAAATGATACACTTGTCAAAGTGCTTAAATGAATTTGAGAATAGAAGTATGAAGCAAAAGATTTAAATAACATACATTCAATGTGTTTTGGTAAAATGAAGTGGCCCAAATATCATGTTGTTTTGAAATCTTCATAACACTTCATTAATAATAATTGAAAATACGTTTATTTTCACATTACCAATAACTACAACCATTCAAGACATAAACATATAATGATTGTTTATAAATGTCAATCTTTTTTATATACATTATAGTCGTTACCTTTAAACAATAAAATAGAGGCTTAATAACCTCTTTGGTCCCCAGTTTTGTTGGATAATGTCAATTCAGTTCTCATTTTTAAAAGTGTTTGAAATATGTCCACATTTATAAAAATTTGCGCCAAATTTGTCCCTTCCGTTAAGTATAACGAAATGGAGTTAATGTGTTGATGATCTGGCACCAGTTATTGGAAACGTGTCAATAAATTGTTTTATGCGTGCTGATGTGCTCCTTAATTATAGAAGATAGGTCGGTCTGGTGGGTGGTCGACCACTTCGGTCGGGTGGTCGATCGACCTGGTGGGTGGTCGGCCACTCGGTCTGGTGGTCGGTCAGCCTCGTGGGTGGTCGGCGACACAATCCGGTGGTCGTTCAGCCTAGTGGGTGGTCGGCCCGTGGTGCTAGGAGACCGTACGAGTATTCAGAAACGAAATCAAATTGTATAAAGCAAGTTGTATAAAAACAAAGTCAATAAAGCATAAACATTGACCTTCATTCAGGCACCAGACCGAGTGGTCGACCACCCACCAGGTCGACCGACCACCCACCAAGTCGACCAACCACCAGACCGAGTGGCCAACTAACAGATCGACCACCCACCAGGCCGACCTATTTTCTGTAATTAAGAAACACGTCAGCACGCACACAAGTAAATTATGACACTTAACCATTAACTACGGTCATATCATCACCCATTAACTTCGTTTAGTTATATTTAACAGAAGAGACTAATTTGACTCAAAATTTAAATATGAGGACCCATTTCAAACACTTTTAAAAAAAAGGAACTAAATTCACATTATCCAACGAAATTTGGAACAAAAAGGCTATTAAGCCTAAAATAAAACAATATATACATGTCAATCATATCAAACTGGTTTATTTTTAAAAAAAACTAATTGTTCTCCTATAAGTTTAAATAAGAGTTAGATATGTTTTTTATTCCTTAATTTAAAAAAAATGAAATTAGTTCATATTTGAAATTTGAAATTAATTTAGTTTCTTAAATTTAGAAATTTGTGGGTTTAATACGAAACAGGATTAAAAACTTTATGAACTATTTAACGGCATTCCTACCATACCATTTAATTTTTTACACATCATTATACACGTAAAAAGAAATAGGAAAGAAAGAAGAAAAATACAATTTTTCAAGCAACTCCATAGGTATTTCTGTCTCATAGTTCTCTTATTACATTTTCATTGTCATCCCTTCGCCTATCACCAGGCTCCTCATCACTACATCATGAGCGTGTATCACCACCATCTTTACCATACCCTCCATTTTCCTCTCTTTTCCTAAATTCATCCACTCTATTATCCAGACTCAATATAATTTCACATTCTCCACCCCTGCAAGCGCACAAAAAACCGAAACAATTATATACAAACATAAAAATAATGTTGTCTGAATTCTTTTTATTCACTATTAATATTATTTAAAGTTCTTCTTTATTAGACGGATGGAGATCCTCCCTAAGTAACTCCTCAGCATTTCAACTATATCTCACAAACAAAAGAATCCACAAGCTAAAAAAGAAAACTTTACTTTTTCTAAATCTCGTCCAATAACAAAACCTCCCTTAAGAACACCCTGATTGATTTTAACCATGAGATTAATAAACATATTCAAACATTCATTGAAAATGCTAAACGAAAATTCAACGACATCATAATGAAATTACTATGATTGTTCTGTTCACATGTATGATATAGACACCTGTTTGGTTGGGTCATATTCATGTATGAGGAAGAAAAAAAGACAGAAGAATGGACATGGGTGAGATAAACTAGCAGTCAACAATGATGAATTGATTGAAAAGAAAATCTCACTCACATGCTCTGCTGGATTCTATGGATACCCTAAATTTATGACGAGAATTATAACAAAACTAGTAAAATGTGTTCCAATGGTTACCGTGTTCATTCAAACACTTCACTCAAAATTTACTTCCCTTCTCGTGGAAATTTGGTCTACAATTGCGTGTGTATTATATTATACGAGACTCTTTTAGTAAAAATATGAAATTATAGAGAGAATCTGTATTTTATTATATAACTATCGTTTAAATTATTTTAATTAAAGATAATGAGATGTCTTAATTATATACTCTTATTAACAAAAGGATTAATGTGATCGCCAAGTTTTTTAGCATAAATTTAACAAATCTAATTGTAAGTATAGTTAAACAAGACAAGAATAAAGTTGCTTCCTTGAATAATTGCTAAAAAGGGTTATTCTCCTTTCTTATGTTTCTTACTTGGTCTTAGTTGCTTTTTTTTTATTCGAATGATCTCTCCTTATCACTTAATGACCTTTTTTATAATTACACGTGACAAATTCTACAAAAATTAGTGTGACATGTGTATATCTTGTAACCGAGGACCTAGCCAGAACCAAACGGGAGACCAAAATATTAATTACATTTATGAATATGGGCGCGCGAGAGAATAAAATTTCATAAAAACACTTGTAATTATATGCTCCAAAATATTAATTACATTAATATATTAAAACACCATAAAGGATAATGAAACTTAAATCCTGTATCAAAAAGAGAAAGTAATAATTATCTGTAAATTAAAGACTAAAAATGAAAATAAAATAATTTTGTAAAACCAGAAAAGAAAATGTTTTATTTAAAAAAAAGTTTAACAACACATAGATACATAATAAATAAAAAAATATAAAATTAGACCATAATAAATAAAAATATTATCTAAAATATTATCAACATTAAATAGTTAATTGAAAAGAAAAAAATAGGGTGGTCCAGGCCACCACGCCTGTAGCATGAGCACCAAGCAGTTCGACCCATGTTATTTTTAAAAGTAATAACCATACACAAAATAAAATGAATTGATTAAAACTGAAATAATCTTACAAATCATATACATGAATTCTCAACTAACATTTTGAATTAATATATTCATATTTATAGAATATATAAAGTTAAGCCTCTTTTTTTATTAAGTTAACCCTCCTTTCCTGTTGTATTCCAGACTACAATTAAAATGGGTGCCACTTGGATGCTGAATCCATCTCTGGTTTAGAGTAGAGTAGCAGTAATGACACAGATCTTCAATTTTTCACCACACAATTAAGAAAGAAAGTATACGCGCCCAAGCATAAGAGAAGAACCAATGTATTTACATAGTAAACTAAAAGTATGTTGCTCTTCTAGAGCATACATCATTCTAAAGCATGGGAAAATAGAAACAAAAAATCCGACTGTACATACTCGAAGAAACTGAACTGTGGAAGAGGAAGAAATAAAAAGCATCCTTTTTCCCCCTAACCCATTAAAAAATGAACATGGTGCGCAAGTGGGTGAAAATTTGGAATAATTGAATCCCCCGAGCTAATTGACGAGAATAATAAAAACTGAGCCAAAGCCATATCATCTTAGCATGCATCAGAATGATCATACAGAGGCGCCAATACTCTTTTGTATGCATGGACGTCCATGGCTTGGTGAATGTTGAAGGGTTCCCCGCATAGATTGTATTCTGGTCACTGAGGGAGGAAAAAGAAGAAATCAAAAAAGAAATGAGAAAAAAAAAGTATTATTAAATAAACTAAAAACAAAATCACAGAGAACGAACCGGAAACAATACCCATCAGAGAACTTGCGCACTTCAGGATACACACAACCTTTGCCAATAAGGATTCCATAAGCCACTTGGGAGAGATGATGACCCAGAAACTCCCCAAAATTACAGTTTTGTAGTGAGGCAAGATAACTTTCTCCCTGAATTTAATCAATTTCAAAGTACATAATTAGTTCCATGAAACTACGCATATAATACAAATTGTCGCCACTCCCAGGTCACAACTATCAAAATCACGAAGAACAGTCTGATGCAAAGGTGAAATATCAATCAAGTTTTTAAATATATTCCATAAAAATGTTTTAAAATGTCAGGATCCATGATGTGTTGTTTTAATCTTGATATGCAACAAGGAAGAAGCGAAATTACGATAACAAAACAAAAGACATTGCTGCCGATTTACACATCACAGATAATTCACAATATATATCTAAATTCTTCAAGTAAAAGCCCCAGAAAATAATAGAGAAAGTTTACACTTTTTTTAATTAAAAAAAAACGCTACAGTACACATTGACCGCATGATATCACATATTCAATTTCCCTATTGATCAACATAAATACATATCTTGACCACGAAATGAAGCATCAGTTCCGAACCCACAATAGTTCAGCCCCTCACCTATGTCTCAAGTAGTTTTGCTGTGGAGCACTGAAAACTAGAATACTAATTTGTTCTCTATTTGAAATCCTTGGGTAAGGTCTTTCATTCGATTCCGTAAAATCATACTTTGTGCAGAAACGGTACCTAGTATACTCTGACAACCGATAATTTCCAAGCCATATTTATTCCAGAAGGAATCTTCCCGCCTCACCACCAAAGAACTATCTTAGTATAAGGGTATATGAATAATCGAATAGTTCCTAGTCACAATCAGTAGAACAGAATAGGTTAATGGTTGTGTCCAACGATACTAAAAAGAATATATAGAACCGGAAGTAGTTGGTAAAAGAAGTAAAAGTGGCGTAAATAATAGAGATCCAACAATATGTTGCTTCACTGTATAATCAAAGCTATCCAACCTCCGCCTCAGAGGATTCCATTTTCGACCCCTACAAATGTAGCAACCAACTCATGAAAATATGGAAGGAAGAGGAAGTATGTATGCAAAAGAATTGTGTATCTATAACAGTTTATTCTTCAAAACGGATAATGAATCACAGAGTTATAGAGATGTGGAGCAAATATTATGGCTTAGTAAGTACTAGGAACTCTTATGATCTCAACTTTTCTGATGTCGGAAGTCATCTCACAAATTTAGTAAACTTTCATTGCCCATGCTTTCAGATATACACGTAATAGCAAACATAAGACGGATAGTCTACGTATAATACTATAATTCTCCACAAGAGAAAGGAAACTTTTCACTAATAATATCACTTCACTAGTCTCTATTTATTGAGTATATGCCTCCTAAAATCGTTTCAAAATATTATCAATTGCAAACAAAGACCCCTTCTGCTAATATCTTAATGAATTGTTAAAACTAAATACTTAGTTAAATTTATAAAACCAATAGCAAATTCCATATTCAATACCATTAAAATCACTTCCTACTCATTGCACTAGCAAAAAATATACCCGAAATTGTTACCTGAAAAGCCGCCACAAGGCTGCCAAATGCCTGTAATCTGTGATGAATATATAAGTGAAATGAACCAATGTAGAGTTGAAACATGAAGAGTTGCAAGAGCAATCGTGTCTATGATCAAAGCGGCAGGTACAGTAAATCCACAAAGGATTCCTAAAACAGAAAGCCCTTGAATAATATAATTAAAGACGAAACCCACAAAAGATCCAGAGTGTTGACCATATCTGGACTGCATTCAAAGAAACCATGCCAAATACTCCAGCCAGCTCAGCATTCAATTTTGAATCCTGCAGGGTTTCCCATTAACCACACACATCCAGAGCGCAAAAAACGTTGAAAATCCATGCATGAAATTCAAAACTGAAAGGCAAATTGGTTCTCTGTGATATAAAAATGTCCAGCCAACCAAGTTTCCAAGGAGAATATCAACAACCAAAGTTGACCACATAGAATGCCTATGCATTGCAGCTTTCTCTACATATTCAACACATGACTCAGACCTTGAACACAAAAGAACCGTATTAAACATGGAGAAAACATAAAATCAAGAACAAAAGTTATATAAGTTTAAGAATAGTAAATAATTGCCTTAGAATATAAACATATAATTATTAGATAATTAACTTTATATTATCATAAGATGGCCCCGGGAAATTGACCAAGATAACTATGAAAAATGGTTACGAGGTACCAATTTTTGTGTGGTAAGGTTTTCATGTCACCAATAAAATTTGTTTTCAGACTAAACCATATCATTTTAGGCTTAAGAGTTACCCCATAACTATGCAAAGAAAAAAAATGTGTAATTGTAATAAGAAAAATGTGCAATTATAATAAGAGGGAAAGAACATGAAGATGTGAGTGGAATTTATGGATATAAAAAAGTCAGAAAATTAGAAGAAATGAGGAAAAAAGTGTAGCAAAATGAAACTACGATATATATATATATATATATATATATATATATATAAATTATGGATATTTTAGTAATTTAAATGAACAGGGGTATTAGAACATAAACATAACATATATGTACATACTCATCCTCCTCCATGTACTTAGTTAAAAAAAAAAATCAAATAGTATCAATATTGTACCTAGTCAATATGGAAATTCTCCATCAAAACAGAGATAGATTCGAAGAATACTCATATAAAATTGTATAGAAATCTTTTATTGCATCCTAACAGTGTTTTCTCGATATTTTATGTCTTTGAATTCAATAATGAAACATCACCCTTCTTTTTCTTTGATGGGCATATGGAATTTTTTTCTCTAAAGCAAAATCCTTAACCTTAGGACAAAGTTGAATATAATCAAACTCTTTTTCCATAATATTTACAAAATATAAAACATTGATTATAAAAAAAAGGGTGTTGCTCCCTCCACCACGCCAAGTGCTCCTGCACATTCTCACTATTTTCTTTTATTCCAAAAATATCCTACACCTCCCCACTATCTTATTACAATGACTTTCCTTCACTGCTACGTGCGTAGGGCGGTATTGGCGCGGTAACACCAGCTGACACGGGAGATGGAGGTGTTGTACACAGCGGATATGGCGAGGGAAAGGGTGTAGTGCATGGTGAAGGTCACTGACGAGGGAAATGGTGCAATGCGTGGTGAAGGTCACATGCGGCGGGAAGGTGGGAGGGGAAGTGTATGTGAGGGATTAGCATGAATTTGTGTTTGAGTTAGTAAAAGAACATGAATTTGTTTACTCTAAAAATATATAAAGGAATTAGCATAAGATTAGGAAGGCTTTCAAAGAGCTTAACTATTCGAATGAAATTTACTAGGAATCACAACCAACATCTTATATTCAAACTTTAATAAAGGGGTAAAGATATTAAGTTCTTTAAAAAGTATTCAAAGGTAAATTGATATCGTTTAATGAGAGCTTATTTTCATTATCTCTATGAGCCAAGCACCGATATTACTACATATACTAAAAAGCTTGAGAAAACTCTTGATAGAGTATTTTAACATACACGAAGATGCATAAGAAGCAAACCTTACCCCTAAATACACATAAACTCCAGGAGGAAATCTATGTTTTCATTTATATTTAAGGTTTAATACATCATTTGATTCCTAGTTTTGGTGTTTTTGTTCAAAGTCATCCTACGTTTTAAAAAAGTTCAGTTAAGCCCCATATTTCGTTAAAAAATGTTCAAAATGATCCTTTTGGCTTATAGCGTTAAAAACATAACGTGCAGTTGCCTTCGTGGCCAAAACTGAATGAGGTGTAAAGTTTTTACAATATGTGGCACATATGATATATTTGAATGTGTAAATTTAAAAATAAAATATAATGGCTTTAGTTAGGTTTAACGAAATGAGTTAAATCAAATTACCCTTATCTAAGAATCCTATCGCGATTTCTAGGTTTAACAATCTGGTGAAATTGGTCTTGTAGTCATTGTGGCGTGGTGATTCCTTGAAGATGAAATTTGAAGAACGTACGTACGTGAGGTGAGTGTTGCTAACCCTAGCCTACTTACTTGATGTTCTTGTTGTTGGATTTGGGGGTTAGGGTTTGAGGTGGAAATAGAGGGTGGAGTGGAGGTGGAAAGTAATGGTGGAGAGGAAGTGGATGGTGGNCCCCATATTTCGTTAAAAAATGTTCAAAATGATCCTTTTGGCTTATAGCGTTAAAAACATAACGGTGCAGTTGCCTTCGTGGCCAAAACTGAATGAGGTGTAAAGTTTTTACAATATGTGGCACATATGATATATTTGAATGTGTAAATTTAAAAATAAAATATAATGGCTTTAGTTAGGTTTAACGAAATGAGTTAAATCAAATTACCCTTATCTAAGAATCCTATCGCGATTTCTAGGTTTAACAATCTGGTGAAATTGGTCTTGTAGTCATTGTGGCGTGGTGATTCCTTGAAGATGAAATTTGAAGAACGTACGTACGTGAGGTGAGTGTTGCTAACCCTAGCCTACTTACTTGATGTTCTTGTTGTTGGATTTGGGGGTTTGGGTTTGAGGTGGAAATAGAGGGTGGAGTGGAGGTTGAAAGTAATGGTGGAGAGGAAGTGGATGGTGGAGTGGAGGTGGACAAAGTGGTGGAAACTAATGGTGGAGAGCATGTGGATGGTGGAGTGGAGGTGGACAAAGATGGTGGATTGGAGGTGGAAACTAAGCCAGATATCTTTCATGTGTTTTTCGTTGATATCCATTTGAGACCAAAGTACACAATTTTAAATTGAAAAGGAGACCATATTGCACATTTTTTTACCAAATGGAAAACTAAATTTAACATTACATATAAACCCCTAAACGTAAATATTGAGCTTCACCTTCACATTACATGAACACCTACACCTGAACATTGGCCAGGAACTCCACCAATGTTACCACCAGCCCTTTTTCTCAATTATTGTTCAACGTTCTTCCTCCTCTTTGAATGAGTTTTTTCTGGTTGTGGGTGTTTGAGGTGAAGAAGACAACGATAGGGTGATGGTTGCCGAAATGTTGGGAGAGAGATGGGGTTTCTGATTTTTTGTGAATTGCGAATTAGCAATTAGGGTTTCTGATTTTGCACATGATTTTGTGAATTGTGAATTGAGATTCTGATTTTGAAAATTGGAATTGAGGCTTATGATTTTACACATGATTTTGCACAAACTCTAACCTTTTTCTTTTACTTAATAACTTCAACTTTTTAACATTTCCACGTACCTTGCCAACTCAATTCACCTCACATTGCCACACAATAAAAAACTGTACATATCATTTAGTTTTCACCAAGGAGGCAACTGCACCGTTATGTTTTAAACGCCATAAGCCAAAATAACTATTTTAAAACGTTTTTAACGAAATATGAGGTCTTACTGGACTTTTTTAAAAGGTAGGACGACTTTGAACAAAAAGCCCAAAACTAGGGACTAAATGATGTATTAAACCTATATTTAATGCTACTTAATCAGGTCGTTTCATTGGTTTCATGGGATGACTCACATCTTAGGTTAACCTTTACAAGGTTAGCCTTTACAATGACCAACTATGCATGAGGATAGACAGGCAAAACCATTACAACAATGGAAGCATGAAAAGGAGATATTTTCTCCACAATGTCTCCTTTTAAGGAAAAAGAACCAATAACTTTTGAAGAAGAACTTTTCTTCAATGTCTATGACATCCTACTAATAAGGACACTACCGTTATAAGATGAATCAGAAAACAAAAATTTGATGAAAAAGGTATACCTAAGTTCAACAAAGTAGGGATGACGACTAAAGAATGCAAACAAAGAAAATGATACACTTGTCAAAGTGCTTAAATGAATTTGAGAATAGAAGTATGAAGCAAAAGATTTAAATAACATACATTCAATGTGTTTTGGTAAAATGAAGTGGCCCAAATATCATGTTGTTTTGAAATCTTCATAACACTTCATTAATAATAATTGAAAATACGTTTATTTTCACATTACCAATAACTACAACCATTCAAGACATAAACATATAATGATTGTTTATAAATGTCAATCTTTTTTATATACATTATAGTCGTTACCTTTAAACAATAAAATAGAGGCTTAATAACCTCTTTGGTCCCCAGTTTTGTTGGATAATGTCAATTCAGTTCTCATTTTTAAAAGTGTTTGAAATATGTCCACATTTATAAAAATTTGCGCCAAATTTGTCCCTTCCGTTAAGTATAACGAAATGGAGTTAATGTGTTGATGATCTGGCACCAGTTATTGGAAACGTGTCAATAAATTGTTTTATGCGTGCTGATGTGCTCCTTAATTATAGAAGATAGGTCGGTCTGGTGGGTGGTCGACCACTCGGTCTGGTGGTCGGTCGACCTGGTGGGTGGTCGGCCACTCGGTCTGGTGGTCGGTCAGCCTCGTGGGTGGTCGGCGACACAATCCGGTGGTCGGTCAGCCTAGTGGGTGGTCGGCCCGGTGGTGCTAGGAGATCGTACGATATTCAGAAACGAAATCAAATTGTATAAAGCAAGTTGTATAAAAACAAAGTCAATAAAGCATAAACATTGACCTTCATTCAGGCACCAGACCGAGTGGTCGACCACCCACCAGGTCGACCGACCACCCACCAAGTCGACCAACCACCAGACCGAGTGGCCAACTAACAGATCGACCACCCACCAGGCCGACCTATTTTCTGTAATTAAGAAACACGTCAGCACGCACACAAGTAAATTATGACACTTAACCATTAACTACGGTCATATCATCACCCATTAACTTCGTTTAGTTATATTTAACAGAAGAGACTAATTTGACTCAAAATTTAAATATGAGGACCCATTTCAAACACTTTTAAAAAAAAGGAACTAAATTCACATTATCCAACGAAATTTGGAACAAAAAGGCTATTAAGCCTAAAATAAAACAATATATACATGTCAATCATATCAAACTGGTTTATTTTTAAAAAAAACTAATTGTTCTCCTATAAGTTTAAATAAGAGTTAGATATGTTTTTTATTCCTTAATTTAAAAAAAATGAAATTAGTTCATATTTGAAATTTGAAATTAATTTAGTTTCTTAAATTTAGAAATTTGTGGGTTTAATACGAAACAGGATTAAAAACTTTATGAACTATTTAACGGCATTCCTACCATACCATTTAATTTTTTACACATCATTATACACGTAA